GCGGAGCGGACGCGCGGGCTGGTGGGCGCCAGGGAGCACCCGCCTCCCTCATCCCGCAGCCCTCTCCTCCGAGGGCTGACTCGATTGGGCTCTGGCAGTGGACGTACCGCACCACGCGTCAGGAACAGTGGCCCCAACAGGCAACGAGACAAAGTTCCTACAAACCGTCCCAGTTACAGCTCTTTACACAAGCAGGACCACTGCCTAAGATGAATTACTTTAGCAAGTATTTTATCAAACATCAGTTTTACCCTACAAGCCCTCTTAAATCTAATTACTGACAGGCACAAGGTTAGGAGTTTATTGACTAGGATCATACCCCAAGTAGTTTGCAACTACTTTTGGTCTGACACAGAGAACAAGAGCTACCTCTAACTTTAAGTAACTGATTTTTAGCATTGGGTAAAGATTCTGCTTTGCCATTCAGGGTAAAGCCTTGCACTGGCAACCGAGGTCCTGTTTTGATGTTACAACTCAGCAAGCAGTACTTTGTGCAGTCATTTTAAGCCAAATACACCAGGAATCAGTGCAGTGCAGTTCCAGACCTGTGCTGTTGCCCTGCATTACCTGCAGGGAAGGCTGAAGCCAGCACTGGGTCCCTTCACACACTTCCACACTGCAGTTTGTGGTACACTGCCACCCACCTCAGTGTCCCACAGCATTTCTCTGGCCCCAGGGTTTCACCTAGATGTCATCTCGGGGCACGTGAATCCCCGTCCATAGGGCAGGAAGCCACCTCTTCAGAGAGCTCGAGGAGGGGCACTGGCTGCAGGAGCTGCACTGCCACCAAAGCAGCCAGGGCTCCACTGCACTGAGCCCAGAACACTGAGCTGTTCCCACAGGCCAGTCCTGGGCACTGCAGCCAGCTGACACACACAGCGAGAAGCAGTCGAACCAGTAACCAAACCCTGCCAAAATAACCAAGCAGGCAAGACTCAAGTGTGAACAGTGTCTGGACATGACAGGGAAAAAATAAATAGGAAACTTCTGTAAATCAGCACATTTTACACATTTGTTTTTATTCAAAAGATTTGAATAAAACAAAGGCTTTTATGCCACAAGGACACAGGCACCACCAACTTCTTTGATCTTCTCCTCTGCTCTTCTGCTGAAGAACTTTGCTTTCACAATTACAGGCTGCTTGGGCAGCTTCCCCTTGCCCAGAACTTTGTAGTAGCCCTAGAAAGATTAAAAAAAAATGGTTAAGTGCGTGTAATCAACTTGCAGGCTCCTACATTCAGCTCTGTCTCTTAGCACACACCAGTTAAAACCAAAACCACACCGTAACCTCCTCCAGTGTCTGCCTCCAACACAGAACTGGTACAAGGAAAGAAAAACACCCTGCATGGCCTAGCAGAGTTGTCTTTGCTCAGGGAAATAGCAACTGCAAAAAGAACTTTCCCTGTAATTTAGAAGCTCCATACAGAAAACACACTGAAATCTGGTAGAGAGGGCACCAACTTCTCCCCACCTTCCCAAAGGAGAGCAGCTGGCTGCACTTCCAAAGCCATCTACTATCAAATGACTCTAGTCCGTGCTCTTTACCTGTAGGGCACCCCGGTACTTCTGAACAGAGCAGAAGACTCTTCTGCACCTCAGACTGCAAGCTTTGGCAGCACTAGCTGCTCTGCACCGGCACCCTCACTTCATCCCTGCCCTCTGCACTGGAAGGACAATCCCGGGACAAGGGCCACCAGCACCACAGCTGCTGGTCACCGCCTGTCAGAGGGGCTGGCCAGCACAGGTGTCCTACCTGGGAGGGGGCACGTGCCCACCTGGCAGCTCGTGTCACTGATTCGGTGGCCGGCTGAGGTACGAGACACCACAGCCAGTGAACAGGGATCAGCTGTTTGTGTTCGAGAGCTACAGCACACCCAGACAACCACACGTGTGAAGATGTGACTCTAGTCTCGGCAGGAGACAGGACTCAACAAGAGACCAGCTCTGCAGTGTTACCACACTCACTGAACAGCCACACAAGGCTCTCCCACCACAGGGAAAGCCCTGTCCACAGTCACACGTGAGCACAAGTCCTTTCAGTCAGAACCCCAGCCAGACAGGCACTGTGTAACTACTGGGGCACCCAGGCTCTCGTCCTGAGGACTCCACACCGGGCTGGGCAGTGCAGAGCTGGGGCTGCTGTGCAGCTCACTGCTCTCCTGCCTGCACCAGGGCACAGGGCACAGGCACAGCGGGCTGGGCAGTGCAGAGCTGGGGCTGCTGTGCAGCTCACTGCTCTCCTGCCTGCACCAGGGCACAGGGCACAGGCACAGCGGGCTGGGCAGTGCAGAGCTGGGGCTGCTGTGCATCTCACTGCTCTCCTGCCTGCACCAGGGCACAGGAGGGCCCGGGCACAGCGGGCTGGGCAGTGCAGAGCTGGGGCTGCTGTGCAGCTCACTGCTCTCCTGCCTGCACCAGGGCACAGGGCACAGGCACAGCGGGCTGGGCAGTGCAGAGCTGGGGCTGCTGTGCAGCTCACTGCTCTCCTGCCTGCACCAGGGCACAGGCACAGCGGGCTGGGCAGTGCAGAGCTGGGGCTGCTGTGCAGCTCACTGCTCTCCTGCCTGCAGCAGGCACTCACGGAGCGCACGACGTCGATGACGGGGGCCAGGCCAGCCTCGTTTTTGGCGTAGTTGAGCCGTGTCTGTTCGCTGACGAGCGTCCACAGCTTATCCAAATTGACAGTGGGACAGAACTTCTGGTTCCTCTTCAAGTGATAGTGTCTCATGCCTACTTTTCCAAAATAACCAGGGTGGCTGTGAAAGAAAGAGATCCCTTGTTAGACTGCATTTTTAATTCGTTCCAAACAGACAGGACAACAAATTAACATGGAAGGAAACCTCTCATTTGGCCAAAGTAATCAGAATGCTACGTTATACCTCAGTTCCTATTAACACGTGTCATATTTAAGTGCAACAATCACTAATATCCAAACTAAGGGAAAATTAGTTTCTCTGTTTGTTCCCCTTTGAACTTTCAACTCGACCCCCTCACTGGTGAGGCTGCCCCAGCCCTGCGTGCCCAGGGCAACCCCAGCTGCATGAATCCTGGGACAGCTGCAGTGCCCGAGGCGTTTCAGAGCTCCTGTCACTAACCTGGTGACTGACTGAGGCAGGGAGGGGCCCAGGCAGTGAATAGGTTAGTGGCTGCTGTCCGAGCACTCCAGCACACCAGGCCAACAGGCAGTGTCCAGGTGTGACTCTAGTCTCGGCAGTCCCTAAGACATCCCCCACCCCTACAGCACGAACCAAGCACTAAACCTGGGTCCAGAGGGACAGGCTGGAGTCACACAACATCTGTGTGCAGGGTGAAGTGTTACCAGAGGCAGGTTTGACTGAGGCTCCCTAATGCTGTACAGAACTGTGGTTTAACTGCAACAGCCTCTGGTTGTAGGGTGAATGGAGACATGACTTGACTTTAGCTGTAAAGCCACATTTTGTGTTATAGGGAAAAACACACAGGGTTTCAGGCAATGCCATTTACTCACATACAGAGATCAGTTGTTTCTGCTTCAGGAATATCTACTTTGCTAGTATATATACAAAATGTTAGCTTACTATTTATCAAAGTTAATCCTGTGATGGTGCATACCACCAGCATTACCACGCCCTCCAGGATGCTTCCTGTGTTTGCCTAAAAACAAAAAATTGTTTGTTACACTAAGAATACTACACATAATATTTAAGCTTAGAGGTATGTCCAATGTTAGTTTAGGGTAATTATTCTGATTCTATTCCCTCATCTGAATTTACCCCAACTCAGAGGAGGCAACTAAAAACTAGCCCTACAGGTTGACTTAGAGAAGTACAAGAACACACTAGTACAAGTGTGGTAAAAAGAAAAAGCAGGAAAAGCCAAAAGATTCAAAAGGACACAGCACTGCCTTGTAAGGTTGAAGTGTGACACAACCAGTACCGCTGGAGCAGTACTGAAGTTACAAGCTCAGCGAAGCCTAAAGGAAGGGGCAGGACTTGAGGCGAGACCCCTGGCTGCGGCA